TTTTATTTTATTTGTTTCTGATTATATTTTGTTTTCTTGTATTTTATCGCTCTGCTGACCCTTGGGGTCCATTTTATTTTGGTATACCTTTTCTAGGTACGTTAGCCTGTGACCACGGAAATTGGCCGAGTCAAGTGATGGATTAGTACAGGAGAGATTGAGACAGAAGGAGGTACTGGATAGAGAGACCGGGATGGTTTTTAATGTGAAGACAACAACAACAACAACAACGGAGTATCACATTTGTAAAATACTTTTATTAAGTTTTTTTGCATCGTTTATCTTTGCAAGTGGTTTTCCAGCGAAGGACAAAAACTGTAGTATGTAGTACAATGTTTCTCATCTAATTGTCACGCATTCAATACTTCCACTTTACTCTGATGACCGCAGCACTACACAACCGTCTAGAGAGGTCTAGAGAGGAGGAGCCATCGCTTGGAGGAAAGGGGAAGCGACGTGCGGCGGTTGATGCTGGGTTGGGTGGTAGCGCGGGGAAACGGGCTACACCTGGTCCTGGCAGCAGCGCGGGCGGCAATACGGGCAGCACCCCCGGCGGCAGCGCGGGCGGCAGCAAGGGCGGCGGCAAGGGCGGCAGCGCCGGCGGCAGCGCCGGAGGCAGCGCAGTTGGCAGCGCCGGCGGCAGCGCGGGAGGCAGCGCGGGAGGCAGCGCGGGAGGCAGCAAGGGCGGCAGCAAGGGCGGCAAAGCGAAGCCCGGATCAGACCACGGCAAGAACAAGCCGACAGTCGCGCAGCGATGGAAAATCGTTGAGGCCGTCCGAGGCGGCCGGCAAAGGAGCAAGGTTGCGGCAGACTACAATGTGGGCAAGGCATACGTCAGCAACCTGATGAAACCCCCCATGATCGCCGCGCTTGAGAAGGCCCATGACATGGAGCTCAACATGGGCGCCAAACGCGCACCAACGCTGGTACACGCGGAGTTGGAGGCTCGTTTGAACCAATGGATCAAGATTGCACGACAACGATTTGAGGTAGGGACCCCACGTCGTTCGGTCATTTTTCTGTTTTACATCTCTGGCCGCCTCGTTTCCTGTCTGTTTCACAGCAGTAGCCGGCGTTGTTTTGTTGTGCTACAACCTGTTGCAGCAGGTAGGATGATAAGTTGAGAGCTACCTGAACGCTTACATGGATTCCAAACAACCGCCAACATCGCTCGAATATCCACTTCTGCCGCTGCTGCCTCACGATCATGCAGCCAACCAAGCTCGGGTTGAGCGGTATCATGATCCAGACCCAGGCCACGAAGTTCGCGGCGGAGATGGACGTGACCAACTTCACCGCGAGCAACGGCTGGCTACATCGCTTCCTTTCTCGCTACGGCCTCGTGCACGTCAACCTGCACGGGGAAGCTGGTGACGTGAACAAGGCTGCGGCTGAGAAGAAAATCGCGCACAAATCTACGATTTCAGAGGGCGAGGTTCGCTCTAGTCTCGAAGATGTCCGCTCTTACTTGTACACACATGGAAGAGACGGCGAGNGACGTGACCAACTTCACCGCGAGCAACGGCTGGCTACATCGCTTCCTTTCTCGCTACGGCCTCGTGCACGTCAACCTGCACGGGGAAGCTGGTGACGTGAACAAGGCTGCGGCTGAGAAGGAAATCGCGCACAAATCTACGATTTCAGAGGGCGAGGTTCGCTCTAGTCTCGAAGATGTCCGCTCTTACTTGTACACACATGGAAGAGACGGCGAGTACAGCGAAACGGCGTACCTTCTTTCGAAGACTTTGCATTCGTTTACTCATGAAACTCAGGTCAAGCGAAGAGCACAGGAGGGGGGGGAGGTGCAGGCGACTCTTCGGGATATGTGGCGGGTGTAGTTTTTGGTTTCGAGAGCAAAGGACTTTTATTGCCAACGTTCGTTGTTTGCCTTGGGTGAAGTCTCATGAGGTTGAATTTGGCGTTTGTGTTGTGTTGTGCCTCGTTTTGACCTTTTGGGAGGCGCTGTGTCCTCTTTGTCGCTGTGCTTTCCCGAATTTCGGTCTCTGTGTTTCTGCGTAACCTACATTTTCCTAGTGTCGTTTTACAACCTTCGATATTTCTCAGGTGCGGTAGCGAGATCTTGGGCAAGATATTCACGGGGAGGACAACGCCTAAAAAATGAAATAAAGCAAATAATGAAGCCCATATCAACACCAGCGCACTACCGTTGTGTACATGTACGATGCGTAGGTCGTAGAACACCATCGCTTTCAGCGTTTTGTGGTACAGTACGGGGAAATTCAAACGATGGTATGCAAGTATGTATTGCAGCACAATATTAGCAGCAGTTGTTGCGACCTTCAAATCACCTTGTGTCGTAGGTTTCAAACAACATCTCTTGTGGTAACCTTTTTGCTGCGAATGCGCACCTTTTGACATATGCTTCGCCTTCATTGACCCCGGGGATGGTGCGTTAGTGGCCCCGGAATTTTAAAGACACTTCCCCGCGTTCAAGACACTTTGTTGGGGGGGAAAACGTGGTGTGTCTTGAAAGCGGGGTCGACTGTATTTGTGCGCGAAGGGAAGGGGCGGCGAGTACCGTGAGACGCAGCACCTTCTTTCGAAGACCGTTCATTCGTAATCTCATGAAACTTCATAAAGCCGTAGAGCCAAGCCGCAGGGGGAGGTTGTAAATGATCGATAGTAGTAGGGGTCCGCCAGATAGTACCCCCTTTGCATGACTTGTGACTTCAAGTAGCATTTACCGAGTTCAGGAGTAGATATGTGGTAAATAGTTTCGTCAGCCCGCAGCTACCGCTCAATGTGTATGAGTTTGTAGACGAAGCAACTCTTGCACTTCGTATAGTATGCACCTACCGCACAGCTTTACCTCTCCGAGTGCGCTGATCCGGGTCTCACCTCCCAGAAATGTCACGACGATGATGGTGCTTTTCGTTCTTCAACGAGGCCGGGATCCGAAGAGAGTTCCTTTCCTTTGCCGCATTCACTCAAGAGGAAGCGCTTCGTATAGGTTGCGGCAGAAGATACATGGTACGTAGTAAATGCCTTAAGAGACGCGCTTCGTGCGAGCGAAACAAGATCATTGTACAGCAGGCCAAGCGTCGTACAATAGTCAAGGTGCCGTTCAAGCACGACCAACGACCTCTCATGATTTTACCTGCTTTCGCTCTCTTTCCAGCCATAGGGAATAGGTCGACGCTGATGGGTCGGCTGACTGTCGTACGTATGCTGGTGGCTTCACACACACACTCGTACCCACCTCCCGCAGCAGTGACGGCCCCCCTAGATCGGTGCCTACGCCATCCGACCCTGTCGGACCTTGAACCCCCACCCCCCTACCATGTTCAATCTCGTGACCGGGCAAAGGAGAACTAAGTCGGCGGGCTAGGATCTCGACAAACGACCGCGAGGGCTTCTGTAATACCTGCAAACCATGTGGGGTTCGATGAAACCTCGCTTCCCCGTGGAGGTTTCCAGCACCTCGCCCGTTCCCACTTGCATAATGCAGTTGATATTGCAGGGCTACAGCAGCCCACAAATGAAAATAGAACAATAATAGAACGTACTTGCACAAAATCTAGGTGTCGTGTTTTCCGTAAGTGTGGTCGTCACTGTTGCTGGTTCTCCCTCAGGACGAATGGATGTACTGTACGTAACCGTGTACGAAGCTGATCCTGGTTTCTCCATCAGGCACTATCTTGGAACGTGAAATCTCACCGCTGCTTTCCTTGGAAAAAACGCGTGCCGACTTGAGTTCACGCACACAGCACTATAGACTATATACTGTTCATACGTAGTTCAATCTTTGAGGAACCGGCAGCTCTCGGGCATCCTTTCATTGCTGCAGCGGTGTGGCCCGAATCGTGTCCCTTGCTGCGCAAAACAATCAACACGAACGAGTATAAAATACCACCCTGCTCCTCCGCCGTAATCCTGCACGCACAACACACGTCCATGACAGCGCGAAAAGGTTGCGCTGGAACAGCATTGGGAGCGTGTGGTTGTTTCATGATGTCCAACTGCTGCCTGCTGCTGATTTGTTTCTCCCTGACACATACATGCACACCCCCCCGCGCAGGCACAGACATCAATCTCCTATTTACACGGTCAACATGAGCGACAACAACAAAGAAAAGTGGTGGTGGTGGCGCCGGCGGCGGGAGCGGCATCTACGAGAACGCGGGCCTGCCGCCAGCCACTCGGGAGAAGAACCCGCACATCATCCAGGGCTGGCAAACACGCCCTACGCACACAAGGCCACAGAGCGGTACTCGCACATCGGCAAGGAGAACGCCCAGAACGAGCCCGAGTGGGTGGACTGGGGCGGCAAAGCGGCGAACGCCGCGGCCGACGCCGCGAAGAAATGAACGAGTTGTGTGTTTTGGACCCGCGGGCCGCCGCCCACAGTAGTAGCCGGAAGGAGTCGGCGGGAAATGCTGGCTTATAATAATGCTGATGCGGCAGTTGTTCTCCTGGAAGCGTGGTGGCGTGATTTGCAGGCAGGCGCACGCTGGGGGCGAACGGGTGATAATAATGCGGTTGGGTAGGAGGCCTATTGTGTGTGTGCTGCTGCGAAAATATTCTGCTGGTCTGACGCTGAAGCGTTGAGAGCCGGCCACCGCGCTTATTTAGTCCTGCAGCTGCTGCTGTTGCTCAGACATTCAGGAGATGATATTTTTATCCGGCCTAAGATAGTACCGGTAGGCACATGTTGTTTTGAGGTGGAGGAACACCGTGAGCGCTCTACGAAGGCATCGACCAGGCACGTGTTGTGATATCTCTCGATGACTGCTGTGCCGTAGCAGCACCGACTCCTCCTCCATGTATGGAGTAGACTAATTGTTTTATTGCGCTTCAAACTGTACACAATTGTATCGTACAAGGTTTTCCAATTTTTTTTTCCTCGTGTTGGAAGACAGACAGACGCGATGTTCGTGGATCTGCGAACATTGGTGTTGGATACATGTGCTGGATGATTTTGTGTCACGCAGACTGGTAAGATTTCCGTTTCGTAGGGGGCGCCGCGATGATTCACGGGACCCTCCTTGCTGTGGGAGCCGCTCTTTGAGCACTCCCTCTTTCGTCCATGAGAAGGACGGTCGTCTACCTCTCGTGAAGTTAATACATCACCAAAACAGTCTCACCGGATAAATAAGTGGCGTAGGCCGCAAACACGCGATTTTCTTCTCTGATTCCCGGGGGAACATATTTGTGCGCACGCATGTTGTTTACAGGGAGGAGTATTGTTGTGTGCCGACGCGTGGTTCGCGAAAAGGCAAGATGCTTTCTTCTCCAGGGGACACGTTGTTGTTGATATGCTAGGCGACGGAAGGCCTGTTGCTCGATGTTGGGCACACCGTCGAATTGTAAGCGGTTGTGTGTGTGTGTGTTTCTCATTGTTTTCGGTTGTCATCGCGCAGCAATCATTGAGGGTACTGTACCTTGGTTACCACCTATCTCCTTCTCGAGGTATTAATTCCACGAAGAACAGATCGATCGATCGATCGATGGAGATGGCCTCTCTTAATGTTGAGCGTTTGTTTGTCTTGCGCGGCAAGGCCTGATCTTCCACACATACATGTCTATGGGACCTATGTATGTATGTATGTGCCTGTGAAGGAGAGGGTGTACCTGCATCCCACGCGCTCCTAAAGTCGCCGCGTGGACTACAGAGACGCCTCGGCAGGGTTTTGCTCTCGTGTTGCATGTAAGATTTTCCCACTCCCACGAGGAAAAATAACATCATCGGGGATCTACAGGAGTAGGGTAGTTCTTTTCGCTTCGGAAAAGTAGTGAAATTTTCCACGGAACGGTGACAAGAAAACGCGGCTTTTTTTCGCTTGTTCTATTCGTGATGTCATCGCAAACAACAGTACGTTTCCTTCCCTGAATACACGCTTTGCTCGGCACACAACAGGTTGAGTTGGTGTCGCTCACCATGGAGCAGCGGTAAAAGCACAATGAGCAGCACCCGACACAAGAGGACAACACACTTGGAAAGATCCTACCCACCCGGCCTGCTATTCTCAGTTTTCAGCAACAAACAACAACAGGCGCAGGGCAGAGTGTCGCAACCTGGGTGTTGCTTGCGATTGCTTCAGTTTGCCAGCTCATTTTCCACGGTTGCGACTCCCATCTTTGACCACCACCTGCCCAAAGGTAGACGAGCTCAACAATCGTAGAGCGGCAGCCGCGCTGACGGCCAGCATCACATAGATGGCCAATCCGAAAGAATTGGCGTGTCGAAGGCCCTGCTGCTCTTCTTCTGCTGCGTGGTGCCGTGGATTGATGTTGATGTGTCCGACCAAAAACAGAACATCTCGCCGCATTTTTTCCAGCGGCATTTTGGTGAGGTGGCACACGTCTCTCACATACCTTATTGATTGAGCAGCACCCAAGCACCCAATACCCACGAAGCAGTACGGCGCCGGGAGATGGTATCATATAGACAGCCGAACCGAAGGAATCAGCGCGTTGGAGGTCNGTAGAGCGGCAGCCGCGCTGACGGCCAGCATCACATAGATGGCCAATCCGAAAGAATTGGCGTGTCGAAGGCCCTGCTGCTCTTCTTCTGCTGCGTGGTGCCGTGGATTGATGTTGATGTGTCCGACCAAAAACAGAACATCTCGCCGCATTTTTTCCAGCGGCATTTTGGTGAGGTGGCACACGTCTCTCACATACCTTATTGATTGAGCAGCACCCAAGCACCCAATACCCACGAAGCAGTACGGCGCCGGGAGATGGTATCATATAGACAGCCGAACCGAAGGAATCAGCGCGTTGGAGGTCTTGGTACTGCTGCTGTACCCGTTCTACTGCTGCTGTTGTTTCCGAGTTTGCTACGTGTGATCGAAAAAAATTCCCCGGCACCAACAGTTGCATGCAGTTGAAGACGAGAACACCACGCAATGTCTAGTTTTGGACCAAAAATGGAATGAACGCCGCTTCTGCCGGTTGTCCATCTCCACAACAGACCTGGACGTGAGTCTGGCAGATCTTCCTTATCTACTAGCGTTCTCAGGGATGTTATCGTGCCCGCGGTGCACTTGTCCGATGCTTCTGTCAAAACACGGATCCGTGAAGAAAGTAGCAAGCCCCGAAAAATCCCGGCTCCTTCTTTTCAAGTTTTCGGGGAAAAATGCCTCCGTATATGTTCAAGAAATCACGCTTCCTTCCGTGAAATGTTGCGTATTTTTTTTGTCGTGAAGAACCACCCTTACTGCTGTACGTCGTTGATGTTTTAGTTGATGCAGTGTGGTCCAGCGGAAGATATTTTGGGTTCGGGACAAAGTGGATTTGTTTGCCGGCGCTGGCACGAAGTCAACGTGAAAGTTCTCCACATTGTCGATACGTTGGGTAGGATCGATGAATGAAACCTATATTTGTTTGAAGCACAACATGCCACAAACATGTCGTCAACGATACTTTCCGACGCTACGTTACAAAAAAGCGTGTCCAGCACTCAGACATCAAATAATGCTATTTTGCCCAAAGTGCAGATCCGCAGAACAAAGAAGAGCTGACACCTCGAGGCCCGAAGAGGTATACCGTCCACCAGTTCAACGTGCGTCCCCTTGAACAGCATTCCGCGATGCTGTAGGCGTCTTCCAGACCGCACGAGAGAGTAGCGGGTACCTTTTCATCACGTCGAAGATCGACGCTGTCCCCCCTAGACTGATAAGTTTCCGCATCCATCCGAAGATATTGAGTATCATCATCTATCTCCAGTATCTCTCCGGCGTGAATCACTCCATCCTCGTTGAGCTGGGCAGCGTGATACCACGGCTTCGTTTATCGTCTACACACGACCGCACGTATACATACCATATCATACCATGGGGTCTATGTAGACTAAGACCAACACGCCAGTGCGTAGGGACCTCACTGATGCCTCTGTGTCGCTCGAAATTTTCCGAGAAGGTTCCACAGGGACCCCACCCCCTCTCGCAGCAGGTGGAGACCACACATGCACCCACCATCCTTCTAGGCTTTCACTACCGAGCTCAAGAGCCGCAGCTTCTTCTAGCTCAAGAGCGGTAGCTTCTTCTTACGTGGGACTATCAAAAGTGTCTCATTTTCTATGGCTTCGCCCCCGCAGCAGCACGTGCAGCGGATGGACCGTGGGAGCTTCGTCTCTTCAGAGAGCTTCGAAAGTCTGACCTGCGGCGCCCCCGCTGTGGTTATCGAGCGACTCCGCCAAGCCACCGGTGCTGACGCCGGCCCAGACGCGCTAAAAGAGCTCGGTGAGAGCATCAAGAAGGCGGCCGTGGAAAAGTTGGGAGGGGGCGGGGACAAGGAGGGGGTGGAGGTGGCATTTGGGGGGGCGATGGGCCGGTCATTCTACGCCACGGCTGACGGATCGACAACAACCGCGGACGTTGTCCTGTTCTACACACTGGTGGGTTCAGGTAGTTGTAGAGAGGCATATTGCGCACCCACCCCGATGCAGACATCGTCTACATACAGTCTACTCCCCGATCTCCCCATAGGACATTGAGTTTGAATATACAGCAACATAGTGTTAGCTTTTTGCAGGGGAATTATCTACGACTACTCGCGTACAACAAGCTTCTCAACACCAAGTCGCCGACCATCGACCTGCATGCGGCTGACAAGGTCAAGCGGTGGCCCACGTGCGTGCCACTCGACGACATCCCATCTCTACTTGAGGTTGAGGAAGCGGTACGGGATATGGCCAACAGAAAGAAAGGACGTCGGGCCGGACGACCTACCGGCTGAGTTGATCAAGCTTTTCCTGGACGGAGACCAAGGTCTCCTCCGCGAGTTCCACGTCACTGTCATAGACGTGTGGCAGACGGGGGACGTACCACAGCAGTGGAAGGGTGCCACCNAAAGGACGTCGGGCCGGACGACCTACCGGCTGAGTTGATCAAGCTTTTCCTGGACGGAGA